AGAATTAAGGACGTTAGGACAGACGACATATTTAAACCCACCTACCTCGTTCTGCAAAATCCCTCTTTTTCTGCAAAAACGACCATTCGTACCTTTCACTATTGCCTTTTTACAAAAGCGTGTAAATGGAAAAAATCCGGGCCGAACGTGACGATTCCAAAGCTATTCTTTAAATTTCATGGGAAAATTTTGAAAAATGAAAAAGCCACTGTTGCGAAAATCGCGAACTGAGATATGGGCAGTTTTATTCATTTTTAGTGGTCTTTTGGCCTTAGTTTCCACATTTCTATAAGTATTATTTAGTATTAAGCTATATATCTCATAGTATAGACTTACCCGATCCGGGGAAGCCATAGAAAATGTGGATGATTTCATCTACTTAGGCTCCTGGATTGAGAGTACAGATAGGGAGATAAGGGTTAGAAAGGGAACAACTTGGGGTGCCCTACATAGACTGGGATATCTGGAAATCAAAACTCTCAAAGAGCCTCAAGATTAGATTGTTCATAGCGGCTTCTGAATCAGTACTGCTCTACGGATCAGAAACATGGACACTGACAAAGGCTCAAGAGAATAGGTTGGACGGGACATACACAGAGATGTTGCGTATGGTGCTGGGTATCTCATGGAAGGACAAGGTCAGCAATATAACTTTGTATGGAAGCCATTTCGGAGCTATTAAACCCTCCCCCACGAATGCGGACCTGTCTGACCTGGACAGGTGGTTGAAGTGGTTCCCTGCTTTCCTTATTTTGGTGATGGTGATGGTCCCCCCACTAGACTTGAGATTTTAAACTGTCTTAAAAAATTGAAGAACCACAAAAGTGCTGGGATTGACGAAATCTCTAATGAGCAGTTAAAGTATGGGGCAAGTGGTCTTGTGGATAGGATGGAGAAATTGTTTTCTAAAGTTTGAAATTAAAAAGCAGTGCCTGTCGACTGGTTGAAAGGCATCGTGATAATTGAACCAAAGAAGGGTGATACCTCAAATCATCATATTACATCATCATATTACAACGCATAAGTGACGGTTTAGAATGTTTGCTACGAGACAATCAGTGTGGGTTTAGAAAGAACAGATCATGCATTGATCAGATTTATTCACTCCGCATTATTATACATAACTGCCTTGAATATAATCTCCCCCTGTATGTAAATTTTGTGGACTTCAAGGCAGCTTTTGATTCTATCGACAGGAATTAGATTTGGAAAGCTTTCAGTCATTATGGCTTGCCATGTAAATACATTCGAATTATACAGGCATTCTTTAATGGAACTGTTAGTGCTGTTAGACACAATGATGAATTGTCAGAATGGTTTGAAGTAAGTTCAGGCAGTGGCCAAGGAGACATTCAGGGTCCCCCTCTTTTTAATGTATGCCTCAATGTGGCCGCTGAGAGAACAGAAAGCAACAAAGTGGTGTCCCACGGAGCGGTTCTTCAAAGATCTATCAGTCCGCTTGTTGATGATATCACTGTGTTAGATACAGACTATGTAGATGACATGGCTGTACTGGATAACAGCGAGGAAGGTCTTCAAGAAACAACTGACCTTTTGTGTATGTATGGTGCCCAGGGAGGTCTCAGAATCAATGGTAAAAAGACTGAGGCTATGGTCATTGGTGAAGCAACCTCTCAACGGCCATACACGAAAGAAGCCACAGTGAACATCATGATGCTGCAGCGTTTAAAGGAAACACTGACATAGACCTAGAAGGAGCGAGTGAGATGGCTAGTGACCGCAAACTTTGAAGGGAGATGATACGTCACAAACGGGAGTTCAATTGGTGCAGGCCACTCGAATGATTGAGGAGACCTAATCAAGTACAAGTAAGTATGGAAGCCTACCAAGGCTGTCAAACAAGTTACGAATCAGGAGATTAAAAATGGCGGGACACTGCATCCGACATCCTGAGCTACTTGCCAGTTATTTAGTCTTATGGGAACCTTCAACCTACGCACGGTAGAGCACAGCAAGGCCGACCAAGACAAAGCTACTTGTCTATGTTACTGAAGGCAGTTGGGACAAACTCTAAAGAGGAACTGCGAACCCTGATGCGGGACAGGGATATATGGAAGGGGTTATCTGGCGTAGATCGGACTTAGCTCCGACATAGTAGTAGTAGTAGTAGTAGTTTTATATAAAGTTGGTTTAATTTAAAAATAGTGACATTTGACCAATTTAAGGACCATAATCTATCAAATTTGGTGCGTATGCCCATAATATATCATGGGCATATAGTTTTTGGATCATAACTCTGGGTTTTGGGCATGTGAAGGTGATGTGGGCCCTCAAAATTTTGATTACGGGACCTAGTTTGTTGGTCAACTGGTATGTCAGGGGGGGGGTCCAAGGGGAACTTTGGGGAACTTTGGGAAAGTCCCCCAAGATTTCTGAAGTTCCCCAAAAAAAAGTTCCCCAAAACTCCCCAAAGTTCCCCAAAATTCCCCAAAATTATTCAAAATTATTCAAAATTATTCAAAATTATTCAAAATTATTCAAATAATAATAATATTTTTTTTGGCATGATAATTTTTTTGGGGAACTTTGGGGAACTTTGGGGAATTTTGGGGAACTTTCTGAAGTTCCCCAAAAAAAAGTTCCCCAAAATTCCCCAAAATTATTTGTTTCATTGATAATTTTTTGGGGAACTTTGGGAAAGTCCCCCAGGTTTCCTGAAGTTCCCCAAAAAAAAGTTCCCCAAAACTCCCCAAAGTTCCCCTTGGACCCCCCCCTATGTCAGCATCAAGTTTCACAAAAAAATTCAGGCTGGACCCCCCCCCCCCCCCCCCCCTTAAGCTTCACATAAACATCAGGCTAATTCATATCAAGGAGCTGTACAAGTCTTGGCAGCTTGGCGAATGGCAGAGTTATACTGACTAGAATAACCGGCTGTCATTAAATAATTCTGACACTGTCAACTCAGGAAGTCTTGCTGCAAGTATTACAATCTATATATTGCTCATACCTTACATCAAATTTCTGGCTATCATTATATAAGACTGAGAGCAAATAATCCAAAATTTTTAAACGACCACTTAGATAAATTTAAACGGTTCTAGAGGTAGTTGTCGGATCCTTGAAATATTTGCAGAAAGTTGCCATGGTTATTGAGATGTGTCATTTAAATTATAAATAGGGGAAATTATAAGTCTGATCTTTTTTGCACGATCCAGTTAGAACCTTTTAAACCATAACTCAATTTTTAAGATGTTGGAATTATAGGAAGGTTAATAAGGTAACAAATATGGGAAGCAATGAAATTAGGCTAGACTGTTCTATTCACTATCAAATAAACATTTCCATAGATGCTTAGTGACCTCAAATTCAAAAAGACTAGCAGACACAATCTGTCTTACCTGTAAAGGGAGTCCATTCATACCTTTTCAAAAATTATCCGTAACCGGAAAAAAACAAACAAAATCGTGAAATATGGATTTTAATATTTCTTTTTGTTTGCCAAAAATGGTAGCTTGAGATTTAACTACATTTTTTGGTTTTTTGTTTGTTTTTATTGTTTTTCCCCAAAAAAAAACAATCGGTTGACTAAAGTTGTGAGATTTGGACTTTATTGTTAATTTCCCCCGTTTTTGTTGCAACTTGTAAGTTATGGGCAGCCATATATGCTGACACCTAGAGTAACGAGAGACCTAACAACACCAACCATGATGCTGGGACGGCACTTCACCGTCACAACTCCTGGAGCCGATAACACTGAATATTATAGAAATTCACTTCAAAACACCATTGACAACATTACCAGTGAAACGATCACATATGCTGTCTCGTCTCCTTTTACTTTTCCAGACCCAACTGGCATTTAAGCGTATCATTTTGACTCATATCACTTCTTACACCTTTACACCATCCTCCACCATTCACTCTGATTTCACCGGCAACCTTCCCCAGGGTTGCCACGCCCCAGAGGTAGGCAGAGCATCTCAATGCTATCCTCTTGATACATGTTTCGTATCCCAATATCAGAGAAAAGTGGCATGCAACGTATGTCAACTATCCTCTCGTGGGCTATTTTGGCCCAGCCTCCCTTTAAAAAAATTTAAAAAATATGCTGACACGTGAACACGATTAACCAATAAAAGTAGTGCTCTTAAATGAGGATAAATATTGATCTTGGTAGCCACAGTTTAACTTGGTCAATGGAACATATCACTTTATTGCAAAGCGCGCGTTACTGCAGGTTGGTGGGTCAGAGTCTTGCTTTAAGAAACAATCTTACTAGTGCAGCGATTTCAATTATTAGGAGTTCCTGCGGATTTGAGTTGTTGTATTTTCCATTGAGAATAACGATTACGTTTAGCATACACCTGAGACCACTCTTTAGAACCGATAGTAATTATGTTGACCTTTAAAAAGCCGGTTCTTGGATTAAATCTGAGTACCAAATATTGAGATTTAGAGTAATTCTAGTGTTAGTTGTCAATAACTACACCATTGTAATTCTTATGAAAAATACATAAAACAGTTTTAATATAGTTAAAATTTATGGTGATTGGAACCCATTCATATCAGTAACACCTTACACATGCAATTCAAGCTAAAAACTAGGATAAAAGGGGAGAAAATAAGAATTGTGGAAGTGAACGGTCTTATTATAACATTTACTGATGTTAAACACTTATACTGATATAACATGTAACTAGGCAACCCACACCAGTATGTACTAAACTAGCTTGATAAGCTTGACGTGAAATAAGAATTACAAATTATCCGGTTTATTAATATCAGAACGTGTCTAACTAGCTTCCTCGTAGTTGAATAGTCATCTTAATCATAATGCTTAAGTTGAGGGTTGAGGGTTGAGAGCAAGCTCAATTATTCTCTCGTTGGGTATATAACTTGTAAAATGTTAAACTTGATCCAGTATAAAAATATAACCATGTAGCTCCATCACTCCATGATTATAAAAGTATACCCTGTAGCTCCATGATTATAAAAGTATAACCCTTTAGCTTCATGATTCTAACCCGAGAACCCTTCAGTGCAGAGAGCTGGAGCTGATGCACCACGACAAGTTAACAGAGACAGCGCTGCTCATCATGGAGAAAGTGGTGAAGAACGAGCTGGAAGAAGAGCTACCAGAAGATCTCAGATTGGTAAGTTTATTTTCCTGAGCCGGCCCATCAGGCCGGGTGGTTGTTGGGATTCTCGGAGGTGAACTCGGAGGTCTATATTTAGTGAACGTGATTACAGCCCTAATCACCTGCTAGAAACCGGATTATGGACGTGAACTTGAGAAACTGTGTGGCGGTGGTATTACCTCTTTGGAGGAACACTAATTAGCTCTGTCTAATCCCACTATACTGAATATTGTATTATTGTGCCCTTGGTCTTACAGATTTAAAAAACAGCGTGCTCAATAACATAACACCTAAAACCCCTCAGCTGTTTGTTGACAAAGATACGATTACAAACGCTGTTAATACGTCCCATGACTTACACAACCAGAGAATTGACAACAAGGTTAGTTTACTTTTAGAACTTGGTAGTGAATTTTATAGCTTTTTAGATTGTTTTACTCGAGATAGATTGTTATAAATATTTGTTGTGAGTGCTAAAAGGATAACTATAATCAATAGCTCAAGAACTCTTGCTCAATCCCCCTTTAAAATGTAAAGAAATAGATAAACAGTAACTGGGTGATGCAAGATATAAGTGTTCACTTGTGGCTTACATGATCCCCGTAGTCTGCAGCTGATTTACGCAGATCAATGTCAGGTCTCTAAAACTCTAAAACGACCTTGCGTCAATCTGTTGCAAGGGATGATTACTCTGCTAAAATGACAAATTTCATTTTATGATTTAATGGAAATATATCTTATATAATATTCTATCTACTTGCCTGCTAACGTTTGATAAACCAGCGACAACGTTAACTAAAATTGTGATCACAATCTAATGCCCCGCCCCTTCAGGAGGATGATATAGTGACCCGGGTAGGGAACAGCAAAGAGAGCTACAACGCCCGAATTAGCGAGGGAGAGGTGCAGAGGAACCGACACAGAGTAGCAGAGATAAATCACTTCTTGGAGAACATTCGAGACGAACTGGAACAGTATGAGAACCTAGACAGATAGGCTGGGAGGTACTGAGGGGACTGTTTCAGGGTCTCTCAGGAGATCAGATTTGAGGGTGAGATTTGAGAGAAAGTTTTGAACGGCACCTCGTTAGGGTTCAGAGGGAGGGAAGATTGGAAGTAAAGTTCCCTTAGTGTTAGAGGTGCAGAACAATGAACCAGATTAAGACTTTAGAAATATAAGTGAAAAGATTCCTGCGTCGATAAAACCGAAGACGTTTCATTTCTTGTGTTACAGTTTTACCACTTTTTACTGTTCGCAGTTGCGAAACTGTGAGAATTTTCATAAAATGTTATAGTCACTGTTAATGATGTACATGTTTTATGAGTATTTACAATTCTCTTGGACACAGCATTATGTCTGGAATTTAATGAACGAATTTTTATTGAACTGAATAAAACAGCAGAATAACTAATAACTATATACCCATATTCATGAAGTGTGGATATATTCCTTCGTTAAATCTACGTGATGGAGGTTAAAGACATTTCACTTTAGAGTTATAAATGTAGCCCTGCACTTTGACAGTTTGTATGATATATTGGCCCTTTTTAGGACGAATCAAATTATGAGCGGTTCACCTGGGGACCTCAGGCTTTTGTGTTCATATACACGATTGGAGATATGGCGGAATGACCAAATTCCAGTCTTCGATCTGTTTGGCTGACAAAGTTATTGTTAACTTCCTGGAAGTTTTAATTTGGCCCAAAATCCAACATTTTGAAATAACTTGAAAGGACCAAGTTTCCCAATGTTCCACCTGGTGGGAAAACGTTTTTAACAATAAGATTTACGAACAGTTTGCAAAAAACTGAACAACTCTTTTAGTTCCTGAGATGGCCTAGCCAGTTAGGTTTTCTGGGATCAAGCGATTATTTGAATTTGTAACTTATCTCATTTATCAGCGTCCAAAATTCCTCTTCACGTAGAATAAAACTGGCAAGGGCCCCCTAGGATGAATCCCAGCATCCAAATTTTTAGTCTAGTAATTAAATTATTAATTGATTGATTGGGGACTGGTCCGTAGTACCAGCCAATGTTTACTCAAAAGTAATATATAATTGAAATAAGTTAAATATTCATCCCCGAGGGGCACGCAGATTATAATTGTGATGTTATCTATTAAAACTATTCGATTAAAATTTTATTGGTCGAGTCGACTGGCCCTGATCTGCAAACATATTTGATATTGGTAACTTTATGATGCTGCCTCACCGCAATTAGGTGTGTTATCAGTGTAGATATGCGCTATGTGGCAGTGAAATAAGGAATGTGCTGTTAGAATGGCAGGTGGTTTGAAATGTTGTCCTGATTCAGATTGTTTAATTTGAGCTGTATGAGTTTGGTTTTGAGTGATTATTGACTATGTTCTTTGTGATTTACGTAATCCAGGTAGGTTGTGGAGTAAAAATGGTGGCCATTCGTCGTTGCAGCCAGCACTTTGCAAGTCTAGTAGTACTTTTTTTGACGAATTCTTATATATGTTGATAGAAAATATACTGGATGGGCATGTAATGCGAGTGTTATGCTCTGAAATAGCGAGCATTGGACCTTTATAAAAGATGCTAGATCTCAGGTCAGTCTGTGAGTAAATTGATAACCAGTCTAAGTTTTGTTCGTGTGTCGTTCCTTGTTTGGGTGTGTTAGGAGGGAAAAGTTCTGAAATCGATTTAGGTAAAAATTGCTTGACTAGGTACAATTATTATTGACTCTTAGATATCTCTTAGCTCAAAGACTATTCAATTATTATATAATTATTAATAACGATTTGAGGAGCTCTCTTTATAAGATAGGGTTCTGAATGGGCAACTTTTCTCTTTGATCCGCCCTTCAATGACGTCACATTTCCCAAACAACTATCTCTACCTCTCTCTCTATCTCTCTCTGATCTCTCTGATCTCTCTTAATATGACAATTGGGATTAGCCCGACCCAGTCACATTAAACTGTTTTCTAACTACTGTACTGTCACGTCATAGCTAAAATTTATAAACAACAACAACAATTAAATGGCGAACTTAGCAAACTAGGATCGAGGGGCCGATCTCCTTTTCGTTTGCGGTGCGGCCACGGTCCTTTCGGTACAGATTTCCCTGCAACATAGTCGGGACGCAATCCCTGGCACATGCACTCGCCTCGTGTTATTTTCGCAGCTCTAATGAAAGCCACTACCATTCACACCATGGTTTGGTGAGTGACGGCTGCCATCAATTTTGAAATTTTGGCCCAACTGGGATTCGAACTCGCAACGTCAGGGCCAGTAGACAAGCAGATTTATTTAAAAAAACTTATAAAGGAAAATACAAATGTTAAGCAAAACAGGCATCGAAATGAATATAGAAGTATAAACTTTAAAACTCTATTACCTACTATTACTAAAATATGTCAGGCTAGAACATAAAATGGCCTGTATAGACTAAAATATTTGTTAAAAGGAAATATTTTTACACATACTTTGAGATCAGGTTTCACAACAATAAAACCAGCCAATAAGCACTGATTTAAAATTTTTGGTCATTCCGTTTTTGCGCTTAGTAAAAATAAAAATGCCCTTTTAATGGGAATATTCCTGAAAAAGAGCAATTTCACTTGTCGCAAAAACATAATGATCAAAAATGTTTAATCAGAATCATCACAATTAAATGCGACTTATAAACAACTTTTCGACGCGATCCGGATATTACACCAACCAAATAAGCCTTACATTACTTATAACCTCTACTCTTCAAAACCGAAACAACGAACCAGCAGATACGTATGAACCAAGTCTATATACTTAATAGTCTTAGACACTAACCCAGATAACTGAGAAACTTATACTGTCTTGCAGTGGTAAGTCTATGACATTGGACATGTATTTGAAACCTGCAAGGCCCTTTACAAGTGCAGTGCCACTGCCATGACAATACGGGAATAGTTTGAGAGTTTTGTAAGCGCTGTCTGGATCGCAGTAGAGAGGCAGTCTAGTTGAATTAGTGATCCTGTTTTCTGCTTGTCCGTAAACGTTTTTACAAGCGTAGACGTACATATGGTAGTTCCCAAAAGATTTATCACAGCTAACTTTTGGGGTTCTATCCTGGTACAGAGTAACACTAACAGTGAATTGATGATGTACAGATAATTTCAACGAAATTTCTTCGCCGAAGGTGGCTGCGGTCAATACTACTTTGAAACTTTGTCGATCTTTCGTGATCTTATTCTTACTGATTGCGTTATATTGGTTTGGTGGAATTTGCAGCATATCCATAGCATTATATATGTATGCTTGAACATTCATGTTATCCGGCGGGTGTCCTGACAAATGATGGATAGCCTTCAAGAGAATTGTTTGAACAATATCCGAGTCAGACGATGATTTATTGCTTGCAAGCCAAGACAGGAGACACTCTATGACACAAAACTGGTCTGATTTATCTGTAAATGCCGTAGAAAGCACACACATTCCCTCTACATCAAGGATCTTCCAGCACGAGTAAAGACTGCCACATTCTTTCATGAATCTTAATGACTGTAGCACGGTTATTTTTTCATTAATTTTCATCTTATATCTGTTTAAATGCTTGTATTCCTTCAATGTTATATTGTCAAAATCTTCCATTTTCTCAAAAAGTTCTTCAAATTTAGTCCGAGAACATAGGGACATTACAATTGAAATTTCGGGTTTTTCAAAAGAATCCAATAAAAGTTTGTAGTTGGACTGGTCTAGGAGCATATTGACCCACGGAATATAATCAGGGATAAGATCTTGGTGAAGCAGTAGAGTGAGTAGTTCCTTCTTGTCTACAACTCCTGAGATAACATCGTCTATGGCACTGTCAAGGTTCTTATACCTTTCATCAGTGCTATCTGGTACGATTATTTTGGGTAGGTGTTGTGCGAAGAACAACCTACACGGTTTGTAAATCTCTTCTTTTGAGCACGTCCACTTGCCTTCAATGGCCTTGACGGCCCCTAGATCTTCTCCCATGGGCAGGGGTCCAGTTAAGCAGGTACTTAGGAAGCCTAGTGTCTGGCATTCTGGTGACATGGCCAAACCAACGCAGGCGGTTTGCTCCTATGTACGTCTCTACTGGATTTATCTTTGCACGCTCCAGCACTTCAGTGAAAACTTCAGTGAAAACAGTTTTCACTTGAAAACAAACAAACAAACAAATTATACTTTTGCACCTTCCCTCTTGCGGTACAAAAATGCGGTACAAAATTGGGAAACATTTTAACGTTTAATGTTTAAGTGACGAACTTATACTGCATAAAGCTAATAGTTGATAGAGTTTATTTCATAATATCGTGATTGAACAAATACTTTAGACTGTCAGTGTCATGCCAGTTAAATAATTTTGAATCAGAGTAAACATTTCAGAGTTCAGCAGAAAATGTTTAACTCGCCGCGATTTTCGAAATTTTGCTAAATTGTGACTTTTGTACTTTATGGCTCAGTTTCAAAGGTACAGTCATTTTTAAAGGTACGTACCGTACGTGTTACTGGGCGGCGCTCAGCCTGTCATTCCGCCGAATCTTTATTTATGAACATAATAGCCTGGGGTCCCCAGGTAACGTACGTGCTTCTCTTCTTAGGAACTACAACGTAAATTTACACCCAACCCTTGAGTTCGACCATTTACCGTTACGAGATTCGGGACGGTATTATAAACATCAATAACAAAAAAAAAAACAAGAGTAGATAGATAATACAAATGACTACCTTTGAAATATATTTGTTAAGAAGGAAACAACAAAAATCGTAGAGACTCAAACACAATTAAGAGTAGGAACACAATATAACTATACTGGTTCCAACTTCCACATCATTCCGTGCAAATGTGTGTAATTCGATCAGCAGCTCAATGTTGTATCACATCAGCCTCTTGTAAGTTTATACATACCAGTAACGTAAATAAGAGCCCTTCATTGTGTTGTGTTGGGGACTGGCTCGTGGACCAGCCAATGTTTTCTCAAAAAAGATATGTAATACCAATGGTAATAATAAATTCATCCCCGTGGGGCACATTCAAAACCAAAACAAAGAACCAACAGATACATAGATACGTATTAACCAAGTTTATATAGTACTATAATAATAGTCTTAGACACTAACCCAGATAACTGAGAAAGTTATATTGTCCTGGTCTTTATGATATTGAGCGTTAAGTACAAGACATGAATAGTATTCTTCAGCCACAGGGAAAAGTTTGAGTGTTTTGTAAGCGCTGTCTGGATCACAGTAAAGAGGCAGTCTAGTAGTTTTAGTGGTCATATGGTTCTGGCCATTTACACAAGAGTGTACTGTTCGTTTTTCAATTTTCCAAGCGTAGACGTAAAGATGGTAGTTACGGTTTCCGAAGGATTGATCACAGCTAACTTTTGGTGTTCTA